ATCTGAATATATATATAACTATAACTATAACTATATAACTATATATATAACTATAACTATATATATATAACAACACACATAACACACACACATGTATATATATACACACATATATCACAAACACACACACATATATATATATTGGATACAAGATTTTAGAAGTATCATGACTCATCAACTCTTACCTTTATCGATGTCGTTGATAGTGAACTTCTTCGTGATCTGTAGGTACAATGTGCCGTATGCGAAATGGAAGCCATTACACAACACATGAACAAGCGTGGCTGCCACCACCACAACCCAACCCCACCCGCCATCGGGATGGTAGTCAGCAAAGTCCAGTCGGGGCGGAACCTTTTCTTGCATGCTGCACAGGTCTTTCTTATGCACGCGGCTACACGATGTGTCGCGGGTCGTCTGCGACTGTCCGCTGCGCGTGCTTTCACCGCTGCGTGCGCTCTCGTCGCTGCTCAGACGATATAAAAGATGCTTCTCAGATTTACTGTTACCGACATCGTCGCAGGTTGTAGAGGCAGGCATCGCCTCGTGTCGACCTCAAAATATGCTAGTTATCACTAGATACAGTTGTACGCTAGCCACATTGTTTTCAAGGGTTGGCATAGTCTGAGTCGCCGATGGATATTTATAACACATAGCGTGACTCCACAAACCACCAGTGCTGTCGGTGGAGAATTCCTCACCTCGTTTCCAGGCTCCTGGTACAAACTGTTGACATCCATCCGAGTAAAGACACCATTGCACCGTGAATCCCGCTCGTCAACTCGAGCAATCACCAATGGTTATCGTCTGTACTTACACGAGGATCCTGCAGAGCGACACAGTCGAGGTAGACAACAGTTATTTTGGTTTCCCCTGTGTAGCCACGAGTAGCGGTAGTGACGACGGAAGACTGTTTGCTCATGAATATCGTCTGCACAACCAGTTGCAGACGTAAACCAGCCAAGCTAGCAACGCAGACGTCAAAGTTTTGGGCGCCGAACGACAGGGCAACTAGTGGTGACGCGTTGTTGGTTGAGGGGTTGGAGGTCCGGTTTTGGCTGTCGTTGACCACGGGGTATGGAGGCGATGTCAGATGGTGGAACTGCACGCACAAGACTTACACTGCAATCTGATATCCAGTCATAGAGGCGGGGAATCAAGCTGGTCCTACTGGTAGCCAGGCAGCTCGGTCCCAATACAAGGTCGCAGCCGGCCGTCAGTGCGACCCGATGGCGGTACGCATATCGATTGATTGTAAAACATGGCCTCGATTCTGTGAGGCAAAGCGGTAGGTGATTGGCTACAACCCATGTCGATTATTGGCGTCTGCTAACATAATGTATGTTCCTGGCGATGTGTAGTTGTTGTATTCCAACTGAGAGGCCAGGCGACATGCTGATCGGAGCTTGTCAGTTCGAATTCATCAATGTGACCCAATTAATGCGTCGACAGTTGTTGAAACTCCCCAGCACGGTGTGATTGCTCGGCCTCCAGCGGCCGGAGAACTAGAACAGCCGGGATGAGGCGTCATGCACGACCTGGGAGGGAGCGAAGGCGACGGAGTCGGGCATTAATGTATGTCGGGGACACAGTATGGCCGTCGCTTTGTTGATAAACTGTATTACCCAGGTGTACACGAGCGTCCAAGAGCCTTGTCCGCACACCAGCAGTATGCAAATAAGTCAGCGGGATAGAGCGTTGTCATAGCAACACAATATAGCAACGCGCGTAATTCAACGTTGGTATGGTAACCCAAGCTTGGACGTTACGGCGAAAGGATGAAACAACGTCAGGATTGAGGAGCTCGGCTGAGCCTCTGAAACTTCAACAGCTCTGAGTACAAACCCAGCCCTTGGGCGAGCTTTTATCGGCAACACGCTAAATCTGGACGCAAGTCAGACTGAAGCAGCTATTGCTGTCACAGCTTGTGTCATATAGTCACGTTTCCCTCGGCCCAGTACAAACCTTGACTATCTACTTCATGTTTTATGTTTGGAGCTGAATCTTTTGTAAATTAGATTTCTGTATTCTTTTATAAGACAAGTGGTACGGCTTTCCTTCGTTCGGGTTAAATATTATCGATACACTTTACTTCTACACCGATACAACGGACAGGAACACGTGAAGTTCTTACTTTAAGTTTGATCAGTACAAACGTATTATATTATTGAAAAGATATGTCATTTGGGGTCAATGCCAGCTAAATTGAATGTAAAGAATGTGAGAATTCTAAACGACATTATGGGAGATATTCATGCCGTTAGTGTAAGAGCGGAACCGACAGGAGTGGTTTATTTCTCGCACATAAATACTCTAACTACAACATAAGATTAACTTTCTGCCTTGAACGGTAACAAATACATCAAATCTTAATGATGGTCATCCAGTCGACATCTCCCCTCTTCATAGCCTTCAGTAGTAATTGAGATCCTGGTGGTGCGCCGCGTTCTATTTTAAGATAGATTCATTACTTTTTTGCGCAATTTATTTTGGTAATATCTGGTCGGGCGTTAAAATCGAACTCATTTACCCCCGTTAAGGTGTTGTATCCTCATGGTTATCTGTCTGATGACAGGCGCCGCACCCCTCATCACACCCACGCCGCACCCACACTGACACCAACAACGACCCTACGTCTTGCCCTCCCGCCCGCTCCCCGACACCAACGCCGCCCCCCACTCCTTCCACCTACGCTGTTAAGCCAGAACCCACAGGTGGGGTTTAATAGGCACAATGATGCAATATTTCTGACCAGAATAATAAGACTAAGGTTTGTGCTAAGAACTCCTATGATTTTGATGTAATGTTTGAAACAAACTTCTCACATTCTGCCCATAAAGAAATAGATGATCTAATCAGACTCTTTATTGATATGAAGTCCTTGACAGGCATTAAGAAGTTGGGAGAACATGAAAACATGGATAGCATTAATAAAAGAACTTGCTATCCATAAAAAAAGTGTCATGTACGAGGGCTGGTCAAAATGTTCTGAGCCTGACTTACTTTCAACTATGGGCTGTTACAAAGTGAACTAGTCAATACAGTACAGCGTACATACATTGAGTAGCTCATTGCAAGTGTATTTGGTCTGTTGAGGCCGTTTGTATATTAGTGGCAGCCAGTTGAACGAGATAGGGTCCAAATGGACACATAAATGGAAAAGAACGTGGAAGACATCTTGTCACATGTGTGCGGAAGACGACTTGACTGGTGTGGAAGACATCTTGACTGGTGTGGAAGACATCTTGACTGGTGTGGAAGACATCTTGACTGGCTTGGAAGACATTTTGAATGGTGTGGAAGACATCTTGACTTGTGTGGAAGACAACTTGACTCGTTTGGAAGACATCTTGACAGGTGTGGAAGACATCTTGACAGGTGTGGAAGACATTTTGAATGGTGTGGAAGACATCTTGACTGGTGTGGAAGACATCTTGACTGGTGTGGAAGACAACTTGACTGGTGTGGAAGACATCTTGACTGGCGTGGAAGACATCTTGACAGGTGTTGAAGACATTTTGAATGGTGTGGAAGACATCTTGACTGGTGTGGAAGACATCTTGACTACTGTGGAAGACATCTTGACTGGTGTGGAAGACATCTTGACAGGTGTGGAAGACATCTTGACTGGTGTGGAAGACATCTTGACAGGTGTGGAAGACATCTTGACTGGTGTGGAGGACATCTTGACTGGTGTGGACGACATCTTGACTGGTGTGGACGACATCTTGACTGGTGTGGACGACATCTTGACTGGTGTGGACGACATCTTGACTGGTGTGGACGACATCTTGACTGGTGTGGACGACATCTTGACTGGTGTGGAGGACATCTTGACTGGTGTGGACGACATCTTGACTGGTGTGGACGACATCTTAACTGCCGCGGAAGACATCTTGACTGGTGTGGAGGACATCTTGAATGGTGTGGAGGACATTTTGACTTGTGCGGAAGACATCTTGACTGGTGTGGAAGACATCTTGACTGGTGTGGAAGATATCGTGACTTGAGTTGAAGACATCTTGTCACATGTGTGGAAGACATCTTGACTGGTGTGGAAGACATCTTGACTGCTGTGGAAGACATCTTCACTGCTTCTGGAAGACATTTTGACTAGAATGGAAGACATCTTAACTGCCGCGGAAGACATCTTGACTGCTGTGGAGGACATCTTGACTGGTGTGGAGGACATCTTGAATGGTGTGGAAGACATTTTGACTTGTGCGGAAGACATCTTGAGTGGAGTGGAAGACATACTGAGTGGTGTGGAAGACATCTTGACTGGAATGGAAGACATCTTGAATGGTGTGGAAGACATCTTGACTAGTGTGGAAGATATCTTGAATGGTGTGGAAAACATTTTGACTTGTGTGGAAGACATCTTGAGTGGAGTGGAAGAGATACTGAGAGGTGTGGAAGACAACTTGACTAGTGTGGAAGATATCTTGACTGCTGTGGAAGACCTTTTGACTGGTGTGGAAGACATCTTGACTTGTGTGGAAGATATCTTGACTGGAATGGAAGACATCTTGACTGGTGTGGAAGACATCTTGACAGGTGTGGAAGACATCTTAACTGGTGTGGAGGACATCTTGACTGGAATGGAAGACATCTTGACTGGTGTGGAAGACATCTTGACTGGAATGGAAGACATCTTGACTGGTGTGGAGGACATCTTGACTGGTGTGGAGGACATCTTGACTGGTGTGGAGGACATCTTGACTGGTGTGGATGACACCTTGACTGGTGTGGAAGACATCTTGACTAGTGTGGAAGATATCTTGAATGGTGTGGAAGACATCTTGACTAGTGTGGAAGATATCTTGAATGGTGTGGAAGACATTTTGACTTGTGTGGAAGACATCTTAACTGCCGCGGAAGACAACTTGACTAGTGTGGAAGATATCTTGAATGGTGGTGAAGACATCTTGACTGGTGTGGAAGATATCTTGAGTGTAGTGGAAGACATACTGAGTGGTGTGGAAGACATCTTGACTGGAATGGAAGACATCTTGAATGGTGTGGAAGACATCTTGACTAGTGTGGAAGATATCTTGAATGGTGTGAAAGACATTTTGACTTGTGTGGAAGACATCTTGAGTGGAGTGGAAGACATACTGAGTGGTGTGGAAGACAACTTGACTAGTGTGGAAGACATCTTGACTGCTGTGGAAGACCTTTTGACTGGTGAGGAAGACATCTTGACTGCTGTGGAAGACCTTTTGACTGGTGTGGAAGACATCTTGAGTGGAGTGGAAGACATACTGAGTGGTGTGGAAGACATCTTGACTGGAATGGAAGACAACTTGACTGGTGTGGAAGATATTTTGACTGGTGTGGAAGACATCTTGACTGGTGCGGAAGACATCTTGACTGGTGTGGAAGACATCTTGAGTGGAGTGGAAGCCATCTTGAGTGGTGTGGAAGACATCTTGAGTGGAGTGGAAGCCATCTTGAGTGGAGTGGAAGCCATCTTGAGTGGTGCGGAAGACATCTTGACTGGTGTGGAAGACAACTTGACTAGTGTAGAAGACAACGTGACTGGTGTGGAAGCCATCTTGACTGCTGTGGAAGCCATCTTGACTGCTGTGGAAGACAACTTGACTGGTGTGGAAGACCTTTTTACTAGTGTGGAAGCCATCTTGACTGCTGTGGAAGACCTTTTGACTGGTGTGGAAGACAACTTGACTGGTGTGGAAGACCTTTTGACTGGTGTGGAAGCCATCTTCACTGGTGTGGAAGACCTTTTGACTTGTGTGGAAGACAACTTGACTAGGTGGAAGACCTTTTGACTGGTGTGGAAGACAACTTGACTGGTGTGGAAGACAACTTGACTAGTGTGGAAGACAACTTGACTGGTGTCGAAGCCATCTTGACTAGTGTGGAAGCCATCTTGACTGCTGTGGAAGACAACTTGAGTGGTGTGGAAGACATTTTGACTGCTGTGGAAGACCTTTTGACTGGTGTGGAAGACAACTTGACTGGTGTGGAAGCCATCTTGACTGCTGTGGAAGACAACTTGACTGCTGTGGAAGACCTTTTGACTGGTGTGGAAGACAACTTGACTATTGTAGAAGACAACTTGACTAGTGTGGAAGCCATCTTGGCTGCTGTGGAAGACCTTTTGACTGGTGTGGAAGACAACTTGACTGCTGTGGAAGACAACTTGACTGCTGTGGAAGACCTTTTGACTGGTGTGGAAGACAACTTGACTAGTGTGGAAGACAACTTGACTGGTGTGGAAGCCATCTTGGCTGCTGTGGAAGACCTTTTGACTGGTGTGGAAGACAACTTGACTAGTGTTGAAGACAACTTGACTAGTGTGGAAGCCATCTTGACTAGTGTGGAAGCCATCTTGGCTGCTGTGGAAGACCTTTTGACTGGTGTGGAAGACAACTTGACTGCTGTGGAAGACATTTTGACTGGTGTGGAAGACAACTTGACTAGTGTGGAAGACATCTTGACTGTGAAGTTCATACACTGACGCGTGTTGACTGTGAGTTCATACACAGACGTGTAACGTCTGTGACATTTATATACTAACGTGTTATGTCTGTGACGTTTATACACTGACGTGTTATGACTGTGAAGTTCATACACTGACGTGTAACGTCTGTGACATTTATATACTAACGTGTTATGTCTGTGACGTTTATACACTGACGTGTTATGACTGTGAAGTTCATACACTGACGTGTAACGTCTGTGACATTTATATACTAACGTGTTATGTCTGTGACGTTTATACACTGACGTGTTATGACTGTGAAGTTCATACACTGACGTGTAACGTCTGTGACATTTATATACTAACGTGTTATGTCTGTGACGTTTATACACTGTCGTGTTATGACTGTGAAGTTCATACACAGACGTGTAACGTCTGTGACATTTATATACTAACGTGTTATGTCTGTGACGTTTATACACTGACGTGTTATGACTGTGAAGTTCATACACTGACATGTAACGTCTGTGACATTTATATACTAACGTGTTATGTCTGTGACGTTTATACACTGACGTGTTATGACTGTGAAGTTCATATACTGACGTGTTATGTCTGTGACGTTTATATACTAACGTGTTATGTCTGTGACGTTTATACACTGACGTGTTATGTCTGTGACGTTTTACACTGTCGTGTTATGACTGTGAAGTTCATACACTGACGTGTTATGCCTGCGAAGTGGTTCATTCCACCCAGTGCATCCATCGCCGTTCAAAAAGCTTTCACATGTTCTAATAGTAAGGGATTGTCCTATACATACTGAACCAAATTAAAAACTTTAACATTTTGACCAGTTAGCATTGTGGGCCCTTATTCTTCAGATAACACCCGTTTTTGTGCAGGTGAATCGATCAAAATCATGTGCAAAGCACTGTAGTGGCAAAAGTGGTTTTTCACGTGCAACTGGTCACGTGGCCATAATACCGCACGTGCTTTCAGCCATACTTGTTAGCAGTCATTAACAAAAAAAGAAAAACACAAGAAAACAAAAGTCTTTACGGCCATTTGTCATGCCACGCTTTTCAAATGTGCAACGTGAACGTGCAATCGGCATGTTGCAGACGGGAACGTCCGTAGCTGAAGTCGCAAGGACGATGGGTTGTAGTCGACGGACTGTTTATGATTTACAGACGCGTCTACAGCAAACGGGTGCCACCGCTGATCGCCCTCGGCCAGGTCGACCACGTGTGACGTCACATGCAGAGGATCGTCAGATTTTCTTACATCACCTCCGTAACCGATTTTTGACGACTACATCAACCAGAAATGAACTGTTTAGGGTAGACAGAGTGCGCAAACTGTTCGAAACCGTCTGAGAACTGCTCACCTTCAAGTACGACGGCCATAGTACGGGCCGATTCTGTCTCAATTACACAGACGTCAACGTCAATTGTGGGCAGAGCGACACTTACGATGGACTCAGAGGAATTGGAATCAAGTCGTGTTCAGTGATGAATCCCGATTTAATCTTCGATTTGCTGATGGTAGGGCGAGGGTGTGGAGGCGCCGTCATGAACGTTGCGCCCAGTGTTGTGTACAGGAAGTTGACAGATTTCGAGGCGGAAGTGTCATGGTGTGGGGTGCTTTCTGTGGCAATGCACGTTCCAGGCTTCTTGTCATCCGTGGCAACCTCAACGCTGCTGCTTACCGCGACCAGGTACTGGCACCAGAACTTCTGCCTTTTATGGCAGCACAAGGACCCGGTTTGATCTTCCAACACGACAATGCCAGACCCCACACAGCAATTTTGACAAGGAATTTCCTTCAGAATGCGGGAGTCAACGTCATGGACTGGCCGTCATGGTCTCCCGACCTCAATCCCATCGAAACCGTCTGGGATGCTCTTGGCAGAAGTCTGCTCACTCTCCAGAACCAACCACAGAATTTGCAAGATCTTGGCACCATTTTGCAGCAACAATTGCGTCGTCTTCCCAATCATGTGTTCACAAGCATCACAAGGTCTTTCAGAAGTAATACGAGTAAGTGATTGTTCTATATGTACCGGACAACACAAGTTAGGGATCATGAATATTTTTTGTGGATATTCTTATGAAATGGTTTGCCCAATATATATCCCCAATATAATTATGATCCCTAACTTGTCTTGTTGTGCGGTATATGTTATCTCTTAGATGCGACTTACGGTATCGGGTGGTCAGGCTCGCTGACTTGGCTGATGCATGTCATCGATCCCAAGTGCGTGGATCGATACTCATGATGTCAATCACTGGATTGTCTGTTCCAGACTCGATTATTTACAGATCGCTTTCATATAGCTTGAATATTGCTGAGTGCGGCGTTAAACAACAAACAAACAAATAAAAACCAGTTGTGCCGACACAAACTCTTTCAGATGCTGTGGTACTGTTCTCTACTCATTGTTTCGCTCTCTGACAAATTTGTGTCTGTGAGGTGAGGTGAAATGGGGTTTAACGTCGCGTCCAAGATTATTGCACTTATATAGCGACGTGTATGCATGTTTGTGTGTGTGTGGCTGCTTGTACTAGTTCGGACTGATGCTGATTTTATAGTGCTAGCCAACTAAGAGACCATGTCACAGTTTTAACATGAATACACCACTCAGACACAGTATACTGACTGCGAGATAACCAGTGACCTTAATGCCGAGCGCCAGACAGGGTAACAACAAGTACCATTTTTTAACGCTCTCTGGGCGGATGCTGTACCACTAGACCACGGAGGCGGTCTTGTGTCTTTGAAGCATATATAGATATATAGATATAGATATATATATATATATATATATATGTATGTGTGTATGTGTGTGTGTATGTATGTATGTATGTATGTATGTATCTATGTGTGTGTGTGTGTGTGTGTGTGTGTGTGTGTGTGTGTGTGTGTGTGTGTGTGTGTGTGTAATACATGTATGTATGTATGTATGTATGTATGTATGTATGTATGTATGTATGTATGTATGTATGTATGTATGTATGTATGTATGTATGTATGTATGTATGTATGTGTGTATGTATGTATTTACATGTATAATGTATGTATATACATATAAATACATACATACATACATACATACATACATACATACATACACTATATTTGGCAAAAGAGGACAAGAAGGGGCTTGGGGCTCAGTCGTCTAAGGCGCGGCAATTCCCTGTGCTGAGTTGCGACCCTTGGGCACGCCAGAAACCTGTAGGCGATGGTTCGAATCCCGGTTTGCCCTGATTAGGTTTCTAGGTGTCAGCACCATACCGGTACTCGTGGGTTTCACCATAGTTATCAACGTCTGAGACCTGCATCAATTGGGGCTTTCCTCCGCTGTGATATAACTGGAATACTGTTCAAAGCGGCGTTAAACCCCAATATAATAGTATACCTATCACTAGTAACGTTTTGAAGTAAAATATGATTTTTCCAAAGTAACATTGTATGTGACAGCAGATTATATTCCCGGCAGATGCTGTCACAATGATGAGTGTGAGTGTACGTCGCCTAGATGCTGGAGGTTTGGCTCGTCCGAAGTTCGCTTCCACCATGAGCACAATATGTGAAGGTTATTTCCGCTAACCTCCTGTCGTGATATGACTGGCATATTGCTTACAGCGGCATAAAACATCATTCACTCACTCATTAACAGCAACAAGTGGCTATTTTTGAACACTCAATCTGAAAGAAATAGTTTCAGTTAAGCCAGCTGTTGCACCATCTAAATCTGACATGTGTGATAACAGTACCACCAAAACTTGTATATGAGAATATTAGATCTTTATGCTTGATAAATGTGATTATTATAGTTAAGATATTGACATATATGGTACTGTATCTGACATATGTGGTCACACTGAAAGTGAGTGTATGACTTAGTGAGTTAGTATTACTTAATGTCGTGACAGATGATGATGATTAATATATTGTGATGATAGTGATGATGATGACGAGGACGATGATGGTGAAGCTGAGGAAGACGATGATGGTGGTGATGATAGTGACGAGGACGATGATGGTGATGATGATGGTGATGGTAATGAGGATGAGGACGATTATGGTGACGAGGACGATGATAGTGATGATGATGACGAGGGACGATGATGCTGGTGATGGTGACGAGGACGATGATGGTGATGGTGAGGAAGACGATGATGGTGGTGATGATGACGATAGTGATGATGATGGTGATGGTGATGAGGACGATGATGGTGATGGTGGTGATGATGACGAGGACGATGATGGTGGTGATGGTGACGAGGACGATGATGATGATGATGATGATGATGATGATGATGGTGATGGTGACGAGGACGATGATGTGATGGTGATGGTGATGAGGACGATGATGGTGATGGTGGTGATGACGACGAGGACGATGATGGTGGTGATGGTGACGAGGACGATGATAGTGATGATGGTAACGAGGACGATTATGGTGATGGTGATGGTGGTGACAATGACGATGACGGTGACGGTGACGGTGGTTGGGGTGGTGGCACCTTGGACACATGTTTAAACCTGTGGTCAGTGACGTCACACCTGTTTGTTGTTGAACAGTAAACCTACAGAAGTCTCCGTAAAATACCAAGAAAACAACAGCGATTTACCGGGCTGTGGCACAACCCCAGTCGAGGGGCTTTTAGGGCCGCTTCACTCAACATTCCATGTATCGATTCAATCTGGGATCCCGACTGTTTGAAGTAGTGCGCGCTCGTTCTACTCTCCGCATTGCTACAGTCCTTGGAGTATAAAACCCACGTAGTACCGTCGGAATACTGCTAATAATGATAAATAATAAAAATAATATATTTCTACACCTCTCAGAAGCATGCTCAAAGAGCACACAAGATGCAAAACTGGCGATCGCGGTTTGCTGTGAACGCGCTTATCGACCAGAACTGCGGAGTCAGTGGACGAGATGTGTTTTAAACCCAGGCTTGAAGGACTAAAGTGTTGGGGCTGATTTCAGTGTGAGAGGGAGTGAAATATCTGGAGCCGAAGGTCTTTAACTTATGGTCTTTTTTATTTTAGACCCTGGAACAGGAATGAGCGTTCTGGGCGCGACTGGGCGTTCTTGCTGGGATCTTTCAGATGTGAGAGAGGGGGCACAAGCAGAGTACAAGCAGACTTCAAGCGGACTACAAGCAGACTTCAAGCGGACTACAAGCCCCCTCCCTCGCTGAATCCCTCACGCTGGTTTATTAGTGAGTGAGTATGGTTTTTACGTCGCTTTTAGCAATATCCCAGCAATATCACGGCGGGGGACACCAGAAATGGGCTTCACACATTGTACCCACGTCGGGAATCGAACCCGGGTCTTCGGCGTGACGAGCTAACGCTTTAACCACTAGGCTACCCGACCACCCCTCGCTGGTTTATTAAGAGAAAATGAAGGAATGAGAGGGGATTAACATCTCGGGAATAAAACTGCAGGTTGTACAAGGAAATTTATGTTAAGCTGATGTGTGTTGAGTCGATTGTCCCGGGTCCTGTTGTGAAATATGCGCTTACATCGTAGCTGTGCTGAGGAAAGAAGTGTGTAAGCTGTGCAGGAAACTCATGTTCCACTGTACACAGGAAGAGACAAAACACACAGTATGTGACATAACGACATACGGGTGACTTTACGACATAAGGGGGACATCATACTGGATAGCGGGGGCACAGGTGGCCCAGTCGTCCAAGGGGCCGCACTTAGCGGGTTCGAATCCCGATTCTCTCCGATTATTGTTCCAGGTTTGTCAGCACCCTACTCGAGCACGTGGGTTTACCATGACAAACAGAACTTTATTCACTCAAGGCTATGAACATTCAAGGCTATGAAGAGTGTACACAGGTCTATGTTTTATGACGTGGCGGCACAATATTCAATAGTTGTTCTATGAAAATGTACAAAGAATGTGGCTACAGAAATGAGACAGTTTCCTCAGAGTAGATATGTGTTTACGTTGGAATAATTTGATTATTTTGAAAACTGATGGTCGATTTATGTAATAAGGAGATGAAACGTGGTAAGAATAATGGTATTCATCTGCAGTATCATTTGATGGACATAATATACATTTTCTTTCCATAAGAGGATGTTCTGCCAGCTACCTGTTTCAACAGGTAGACGGTGACAAGAACGCCTGAAATGAAATAAACTGGTTTTAAATTTATTACATAAATTCTGTAGATAAAAGTCAGTGTCAGTATTTTCTTTCATTGTCTGGTGGAATCTGTTCTTACTCGATGTTTCTCGGTCTGGGTTCAATTTTTGAATATATAGGTCTGTACGAGTAAGATACTTCACTGTATAGCATATGTAGGGGGTAACTTTCTTAACAGATAATATTTTTCTTATAAACGTTAAGTGGATGTTTTCAATCATATTTAAGTTTTCAAATTGCCATATTTCTGATCTGTAAGGTAGTACTGGCGTTACTATAGCGTCGAATAGCTTGAGCTCGTAGTGAATTGACAAATAATAATATGTACCTAATATCTATCTAAAATAAAATTTATGGCTTTTGTACCCTTTTCACACTAAGATTTTCTTGAAGAAATAAAAGTACATTTCTTATTGAATACAACACCAAGGTATGTGTATTCATTTACATTTTGTAAGCAAAAGTCTGATAATACAAAAATACAACTATTATCTCCTTAGTCCGCCATTAAATATGAGGACTTAACATTTTTCAAAATTATTTTTTAGTTTCCATTGATTGGAATACTCACAAAATACAACCAGTTCTTTCTGCAGATCATCCTTAGAAGAAGCTAATATCACTGTATCATCAGCATAGAGCAAGGCGAATAACTTTACGTAGATATCTATGTGCTCATCGTTGAGAAGAATCCCAACACAGTTATTGAAAGAGAAGTATTCATCATGGTCATTTAGAAATAGTGAGAATAGAACGGGAGAAAGATTTTCACCTTGCCTTACACCTGTTAAACAATGAAAATATTCTGTTGTATGGCCTTTGAATGATATGATTTAATACAGTTGTACGTATATTGAATAATTCTGCAACATTTACCTGTAATTTACCGTAAATAATTTACTCATACCACACAGTAACGTACTAGGTCTGTATTGTTTTGGATCAGTGTTGTCACCTTTGTTTTTATAGATGGGTCTTACAATCCCTTTCAACCAAGTAGCAGGATAATATCCCATATCCAGCATTCTATTAAAACAATTGTATGTACATTTAATATATTCATCGATGACGTTATCTATACCAGTAGCCTTATTATTTCTTAAATGCTTAACAGCAAGAAATATTTCTTCAGATGTGATGGGTCTATCCAGAATCTCATTGGATTCAATTAAATCTATATGTACAATGTTATCAAAATAACCATCACCTTCATTCATTTCCTTTTAATGATCATAGAGCTTTTCCAAGGTAGCTTATCATCAGAATGTCCTAGGGCGGTCGGGAAGCCTAGTGGTTAAAGCGTTCGCTCGTCACGCCGAAGACCCGGGTTCGATTCCCGACATGGGTACAATGTGTGAAGCCCATTTTCTGGTGTCCCCAGCCGTGATATTGCTGGAATATTGCTAAACGCGGTTATTGTTAAACCATACTCACTCACACACTCAGAATGTCCTTGTTTTAAAAGTTTCCAAAACGATTTCAAATCCTTCTTGGATGAAGAATCAAATCTGTGTTGTAAATTATTTCTAACATCATTGCTGTGTTTCACTAAATATTTCTTACACGATTGACTTGCATTCTGGAGGCCCATTTTGTTCGCCAATGTGGCATTAGTATAAAATGCTCTACTCAGCTGAAAAAAATATTTTCTCCGAGCTCTTTTACACTACAGTAAACAACGTTTATAACGAATACGCTTATAACGAACTGACAGGTATAACGAACTTACTTTTTGGTCCCGACCCTTTGTTGTATAAATGCTGTATATATGCTTATAACGAACTACGGTTATTACGAACTAGAATTAGTGGTCCCTTCGAGTTCGTTATAACCGTAGTGTACTTATAAACGTAGTTTCCAAACCATGGTATACATGTTTTCTTCTTTTTACCTGTTTGTGGCATGTTAATTATAAATTCAAAAAGGTATTTTGAGCAGTTGTCCAAAAAAATATCATTGATGCTGTCAACAATATCATCAATATGATTACCCGTATCTGAGTTATTAGTTAAATTGTATGGGCGGCCATTCGGTCAAAAAATACAAAGTTGACAAAAAGGACAAAAGGACGCAATTAAGGCCAAATATTACGAATAAAGAACTAAATGTTACTACTAAAGGTCAAAATACAATATTAATAGTCAAATGTTAGGAAAAGACGTCACAAGAAAAGAAAGAACAATGTGTACGAAAGAACGTCAGTGAGCACGAAAGGGCGTTTTCAATAAAGAACGTCAGTGAGCACGAAAGGACGTTTTCAATAAAGAACGTCAGTGAACACGAAAGGACGTTTTCAATAAAGAACGCCAGATGGCGCTGCAATTTGTAAAACATTCCGAGTTTAATCGGCTTATTCCGCCGTGTATATGATAACTGCATGCCGAGGTGCACAATGTATTACGTCATTCCTCGTGCACTCCCCGTCTGACGTCACACATAAATGTGGATGTACACAAGCGAAATAAATATTGTTTGAAAACGAAAGCTGGCGTCATAGATGAAACTCGATTTTCTTTATTTATGGCGAGCTATTTTTCCTAACGAATGTGTAAGTTATACATATGCATACAAATCCATTTGGTATATATATTTGTTGTTCAGATATTAGGCAGCATTTTGTTCGCACACAGTTTCCGAAAAGCTGTTAAATAAAACAAACTCTCGCACAACGTTCACTTTTCAGATGAAAATGTGCGTCTGAAACAAAACTCGGCATCATAGCACCCTCGTGTTGCACCAAGCATGAACAGTTATTGGATCACTGTAAATGAATCCTAGTTTAGCGTTAAGTGAGTGTTTTTTATAGGTTGTATACAAAATACATGTACCAATGTTAGGCAGATGTTGGATTACACAGTATACTGACTTTGTATTTATGAAAAGGCCCTTAAGCGGTGACAAAGCTTTACGCAACATGTTTATACCCAATGTGTACATTATACATTATAAGTA